GTCCAGGAGCGTGCCTGGTCCAGGAGCTTGCTTGGTCCAGAAGCTTGCCTGGTCCATGAGCTTGCCTGGTCAAGGAGCGTGCCTGGTCCACGAGTTTGCCTGGTCCAGGAGCTTGCCTGGTCCAAGGGCTTGCCTGGTCTAGGAGCTTGCCTGGTCCAGGAGCGTGCCTGGTCCACAAGTTTGCCTGGTCCAGGAGCTTGCCTTGTCCATAAGCTTGCCTGGTCTAGGAGCTTGCCTGGTCCAAGAGCTTGCCTGGTCTAGGAGCATGCCTGGTCCAAAATCTTGCCAGGTCCAGGAGCGTGCCTGGTGCACGAGTTTGCCTGGTCCAGGAGCTTGTCTTGTCCATGAGCTTGCCTGGTCTAGGAGCTTGCCTGGTCCAGGAGCTTGCTTGGTCTAGGAGCTTGCCTAGTCCATGAGCTTGCCTAGTCCAGGAGCTTGCCTCGTCTAGGAGCATGCCTGGTCCACGAGCTTGCCTGGTCTAGGAGCTTGCCTTGTCCAGGAGCTTGCCTGGTCCAAGAGCTTGCCTGGTCCAAGAGCTTGCGTGGTCCAGGAGCTTGCTCGGTCCGGGAGCTTGCCTGGTCCAGGAGCGCGCCTGGTCTAGGAGCTTGCTTGGTCCAGGATCTTGCCCGTTCCAGGAGCGTGCCTGGTCCAAGAGCTTGCTATGTCCAAGAGCGTGCTTGGTCCCGGAGCTTGCCTGGTCCAGGAGCTTGCCTGGTCTAGGAGCATGCGTGGTCCAAGAGCTTGCCTGGTCCAGGAGCTTGCATGGTCCACGAGCTTGCATGTTCCAGAAGCTTGCCTGGTCCCGGAGCTTGCCTGGTCCAAGAGCTTGCCTGGTCCAGGAGCGTGCCTGGTCTAGGAGCTTGCCTGATCCAGGAGCTTGCCTGGTCCAGGAGCTTGCCTGGTCCAGGAGCGTGCGTGGTCCACGAGCTTGCCTGGTCTAGGAGCTTGCCTGGTCCAAGAGCTTGCCTGGTCTAAAAGCTTACCTGGTCCAAGAGCTTGCGTGGTCCTGGAGCTTGCCTCGTCCAAAAGCTTGCCTGGTCCAGGAGCGTGCCTGGTATGGGAGCTTGCCTGGTCCAGGATCTTGCCTGGTCCAGGTGCGTGCCTGGTCCACGAGTTTGCCTGGTCTAGGAGCTTGCCTGGTCCAGGAGCTTGCCTAGTCCAGGAGCTTGCCTGGTCCAGGAGCGTGCCAGGTCCAGGAGCTTGCCTGGTCCAGGAGCTTGCCTGGTCCAAGAGCGTGCCTGGTCCAGGAGCGTGCTTGGTCCAGGAGCTTGCCTAGTCCAGGAGCTTGCCTGGTCCAGGAGCTTGCCTGGTCCAGGAGCTTACCTGGTCCAGGAGCGTGCCTGGTCCACGAGCCTGCCTGGTCCAAGAGCTTGCCTGGTCTAAGAGCTTGCTTGGTCCAGGAGCTTGCCCGTTCCAGGAGCGTGCCTGGTCCAAGAGCTTGCTATGTCCAAGAGCGTGCTTGGTCCCGGAGCTTGCCTGGTCCAGGAGCTTGCCTGGTCTAGGAGCATGCGTGGTCCAAGAGCTTGCCTGGTCCAGGAGCTTGCATGGTCCACGAGCTTGCATGTTCTTGAAGCTTGCCTGGTCCAGGAGCTTGCCTGGTCCAAGAGCTTGCCTGGTCCAGGAGCGTGCCTGCTCCAAGAGCTTGCCTGGTCTAGAAGCTTGCCTGTTCTAGGAGCTTGCCTCATCCAGGAGCTTTCCAGGTTCAAGAGCTTACCTTGTCCAGGAGCATGCCTGGTCCAGGAGCTTTCCTGGTCCAGGAGCTTGCTTGGTCCTTGAGCTTGCCTGGTCCAAGAGCTTGCCTGGTCCACGAGATTTCCTCGTCCAAGAGCTTGCCTGGTCCAGGAGCTTGCCTGGTCCAGGAGCGTGCCTGGTCAAGGAGCTTGCCTGGTCCAGGAGCTTGCCTTGTCCATGAGCTTGCCTGGTCCAGGAGCGTGCCTGGTCCACGAGCTTGCCTGGTCCAAGAGCTTGCCTGGTCCAAGAGCGTTGCTGGTCCGCGAGCGTGCCTGGCCCAGGAGCTTGCCTGTTCGAGGAGCTTGCCTGGTCCAGGAGCTTGCCTGGTCCAGGAGCTTACCTGGTCCAGGAGCTTGCCTGGTCCATGAGCTTGCCTCGTCCAGGAGCTTACCTGGTCCAGGAGCGTGCCTGGTCCACGAGCCTGCCTGGTCCAAGAGCTTGCCTGGTCTAAGAGCTTGCCTGGTCCAGGAGCTTGCCCGTTCCAGGAGCGTTCCTGGTCCAAGAGCTTGCTATGTCCAAGAGCGTGCTTGGTCCCGGAGCTTGCCTGGTCCAAGAGCTTGCCTGGTCTAGGAGCATGCGTGGTCCAAGAGCTTGCCTAGTCCAGGAGCTTGCATGGTCCACGAGCTTGCATGTTCCAGAAGCTTGCCTAGTCCTGGAGCTTGCCTGGTCCAAGAGCCTGCCTGGTCCAGGAGCGTGCCTGCTCCAAGAGCTTGCCTGGTCTAGAAGCTTGCCTGTTCTAGGAGCTTGCCTGGTCTAGGAGCTTTCCAGGTTCAAGAGCTTACCTGGTCCAGGAGCTTGCTTGGTCCTTGAGCTTGCCTGGTCCAAGAGCTTGCCTAGTCCAAGAGCTTGCCTAGTCCAGGAGCTTGCTTGGTCCAGGAGCTTGCCTGGTCCAAGAGCTTGCCTGGTCCACGAGATTTCCTCGTCCAAGAGCTTGCCTGGTCCAGGAGCTTGCCTGGTCCAGGAGCGTGCCTGGTCCAGGAGCTTGCCTGGTCCAGGAGCTTGCCTTGTCCAGGAGCTTGCCTGGTCCTGGAGCGTGCCTGGTCCACGAGCTTGCCTGGTCCAGGAGCTTGCCTGGTCCAAGAGCGTGCCTCGTCCGCGAGCGTGCCTGGCCCAGGAGCTTGCCTGGTCCAAGAGCTTGCCTGGTCCAGGAGCTTGCCTGGTCGAGGAGCTTGTCTGGTCCAGGAGCTTGCTTGGTCCAGGAGCGTGCATGGTCCAGGAGCCTGCTTGGTCCAGGAGCTTGCTTGGCCCAGAAGCCTGCCTAGTCCAAGAGCTTGACTGGTCGAGGAGCGTGCCTGGTCCAATAGCGTGCGTGGTCCACGAGCTAGCCTGGTCCAGAAGCTTGCTTTGTCCAGGAGCGTGCGTGGTCCAAGAGCTTGCCTGGTCCATGAGCGTGCCTGGCCCAAGAGCTTGCGTGGTCCAGGAGCTTGCGTGGTCCAGGAGCGTGCCTGGTCCACGAGCTTGCCTCGTGCACGAGCATGCCTGGTCCACGAGCTTGCATGGTCCAGGAGCTTGCCTGGTCTAGGAGCATGCGTCGTCCAAGAGCTTGCCTGGTCCAGGAGCTTGCATGGTCCACGAGCTTGCATGTTCCAGAAGTTTGCCTGGTCCAGGAGCTTGCCTGGTCCAAGAGCTTGCCTGGTCCAGGAGCGTGCCTGCTCCAAGAGCTTGCCTGGTCTAGAAGCTTGCCTGTTCTAGGAGCTTGCCTCGTCCAGGAGCTCTCCAGGTTCAAGAGCTTACCTAGTCCAGGAGCATGCCTGGTCCAGGAGCTTTCGTGGTCCAGGAGCTTGCTTGGTCCTTGAGCTTGCCTGGTCCAAGAGCTTGCCTAGTCCAAGAGATCGCCTAGTCCAGGAGCTTGCTTGGTCCAGGAGCTTGCCTGGTCCAAGAGCTTGCCTGGTCCACGAGATTTCCTCGTCCAAGAGCTTGCCTGGTCCAGGAGCTTGCCTGGTCCAGGAGCGTGCCTGGTCCACGAGCTTGCCTAGTCCAAGAGCTTGCCTAGTCCAAGAGCGTGCCTAGTCCGCGAGCGTGCCTGGCCCAGGAGCTTGCCTGGTCCAGGAGCTTGCGTGGTCTAGGAGCTTGCCTGGTCCAGGAGCTTACCTGGTCCAGGAGCTTGCCTGGTCCATGAGCTTGCCTCGTCCAGGAGCTTACCTGGTCCAGGAGCGTGCCTGGTCCACGAGCCTGCCTGGTCCAAGAGCTTGCCTGGTCTAAGAGCTTGCCTGGTCCAGGAGCTTGCCCATTCCAGGAGCGTGCCAGGTCCAAGAGCTTGCTATGTCCAAGAGCGTGCTTGGTCCCGGAGCTTGCATGGTCCAGGAGCTTGCCTGGTCTAGGAGCATGCGTGGTCCAAGAGCTTGCCTGGTCCAGGAGCTTGCATGGTCTACGAGCTTGCATGTTCCAGAAGCTTGCCTGGTCCCGGAGCTTGCCTGGTCCAAGAGCTTGCCTGGTCCAGGAGCGTGCCTGCTCCAAGAGCTTGCCTGGTCTAGAAGCTTGCCTGTTCTAGGAGCTTGCCTCGTCCAGGAGCTTTCCAGGTTCAAGAGCTTACCTGGTCCAGGAGCATGCCTGGTCCAGGAGCTTTCCTGGTCCAGGAGCTTGCTTGGTCCTTGAGCTTGCCTCGTCCAAGAGCTTGCCTAGTCCAAGAGCTCGCCTAGTCCAGGAGCTTGCTTGGTCCAGAAGCTTGCCTGGTCCAAGAGCTTGCTTGGTCCACGAGATTTCCTCGTCCAAGAGCTTGCCTGGTCCAGGAGCTTGCCTGGTCCAGGAGCGTGCCTGGTCCAGGAGCTTGCCTGGTCCAGGAGCTTGCCTTGTCCAGGAGCTTGCCTGGTCAAGGAGCGTGCCTGGTCCACGAGCTTGCCTGGTCCAAGAGCTTGCCTGGTCCAAGAGCGTGCCTCGTCCGCGAGCGTGCCTGGCCCAGGAGCTTGCCTGGTCCAAGAGCTTGCCTGGTCCAGGAGCTTGCCTGGTCGAGGAGCTTGTCTGGTCCAGAAGCTTGCCTGGTCCAGGAGCGTGCATGGTCCAGGAGCTTGCTTGGTCCAGGAGCTTGCTTGGCCCAGAAGCCTGCCTAGTCCAAGAGCTTGACTGGTCGAGGAGCGTGCCTGGTCCAATAGCGTGCGTGGTCCACGAGCTAGCCTGGTCCAGGAGCTTGCTTTGTCCAGGAGCGTGCGTGGTCCAAGAGCTTGCATGGTCCATGAGCGTGCCTGGTCCAAGAGCTTGCGTGGTCCAGGAGCTTGCGTGGTCCAGGAGCGTGCCTGGTCCACGAGCTTGCCTCGTGCACGAGCATGCCTGGTTCACGAGCTTGCATGGTCCAGGAGCTTGCCTGGTCCAGGAGCTTGCCTGGTCCATGAGCTTGCCTGGTCCAGGAGCTTGCCTGGTCCGGGAGCTTGCCTGGTCTTGGAGCTTGCCTGGTCCAGGAGCTTGCCTGGTCTAGGAGCTTGCCAGGTCCAGGAGCTTTCATGGTCTAGGAGCTTGCCTGGTCCAGGAGCGTGCGTGGTCCACAAGCTTGCCTGGTCTAGGAGCTTGCCTGGTCCAAGAGCTTGCCTGGTCCAAGAGCTTACCTGGTCTTAGAGCTTGCGTGGTCCTGGAGATGGAAAGCGGGAGAATGGGGCAGGGTGATGGAAAGCGGGAGAATGGGGCGGGGTGATGGAAGCAGGGAGAATGAGGCGGGGTGATGGAAGGAGGGAGAATGGGGCGGGGTGATGGAGAGCGGGAGAATGGGGCGGGGTGATGGAAAGCGGGAGAATGGGGCGGGGTGTTGGAAAGCGGGAGAATGGGGCGGGGTGATGAAAAGCGGGAGAATGGGGCGGGGTGATGGAAAGTGGGAGAATGGGGCGGGGTGATGGAAAGCGGGAGAATGGGGCGGGTGATGGAAAGCAGGTGAATGGGGCTGGGTGATGGAAAGCAGGAGAATGGGGCGGGGTGATGGAAAGCGGGAGAATGGGGCGTGTAATGGAAAGCGGGAGAATGGGGCGGGGTGATGGAAGGAGGGAGAATGGGGAGGGGTGATGGAAAGCGGGGGAATGGGGCGGGATGATGGGAAGCGGGAGAATGGGGCGGGGTGATGGAAAGCGGGAGAATGGGGCGGGGTGATGGAAAGCGGGAGAATGGGGCAGGGAGATGGAAAGCGGGAGAAAGGGGCGGGGTGATGGAAAGCGGGAGAATGGGCCGGGCTGATGGAAAGCGGGAGAATGGGGGGGGGTGATGGAAGGAGGGAGAATGAGGCGGGGTGATGGAAGGAGGGAGAAGGGGGCGGGGTGATGGAAAGCGGAAGAATGGCGCGGGGTGATGGAAAGCGGGAGAATGGGGCAGGGTGATGGAAAGCGGGAGAATGGGGCGAGGTGATGGAAAGTGGGAGAATGGTGCGGGGTGATGGAAAGCGGAGGAATGGGGCAGGGTGATGGAAAGCGGGAGAATGGGGCGGGGTGAAGGAAGGAGGGAGAATGGGGCGGGGTGATGGAAAGAGGAAAAAGGGGGCGGGGTGATGGAAAGCGAGAGAATGGGCCGGGGTGATGGAAAGCAGGAGAATGGGGCGGGGTGATGAAAAGCGGGAGAATGGGGCGGGGTGATGGAAAGCGGGAGAATGGGGCGGTGTGATGGAAAGCGGGAGAATGGGGCGGGTGATGGAAAGCGGGTGAATGGGGCAGGGTGATGGAAAGCGGGAGAATGGGGCGGGGTGATGGAAAGCAGAAGAATGGGGCGGGGTGATGGAAAGCGGGAGAATGGGGCGAGGTGATGGAAAGCGGGAGAATGGGGCGGGTGATGGAAAGCGAGAGAATGGGGCGGGAGATGGAAAGCGGGAGAAAGGGGCGGGGTGATGGAAGAAGGGAGAATGGGGAGGGGTGATGGAAAGCGGGAGAATGGGGCGGGGAGATGGAAAGCGGGAGAAAGGGGCGGGGTGATGGAAAGCTGGAGAATGGGGCGGGCTGATGGAAAGCGGGAGAATGGGGCGGGGTGATGGAAGGAGGGAGAATTGGGCGGGGTGATGGAAGGAGAGAGAAGGGGGCGGGGTGATGGAAAGATGGAAAATGTGGCGGGGTGATGGAAAGCGGGAGAATGGGGTGGG